CACCTCGCCAGGGGCAACATTGTGCTACAGGAGCTCAACCAGCTGCGGGCACCCATGGCCGCCATCTTTGACCATTTCAGGACGCAGCAGAACGAGCTTGCGCAATACAAGGCCCTCTACGGCCCCCTTCCCAACGAGAAGACGAAGCAGATTGAAGGCGGCAAGGACCAGACATATCGGAGCTTTTGAAGCACTTTTCTAGACATTTGACAGATTCCTTGGATCAACAATGGCGCCACTGCACGGGTGTGCTTTTCACCCCCTTTTTTCTTCCTGGATGGCGGCTTTCAAGCCTTGTTTTTTTTAACGCTCCTTTTTCCCTCCGCGCGCAGTTGTATGGAGCTGAACAGGATGGTGGATTCCTGATTTATGAGTGCCATGGGATGTCTGTTGGGGTTTGCAGTATCGTGTCAGGTTTTGGGGGTTTTTTTTTTCCCTCTTGCAAACTTTCCTGGAGAGGCCTGGCGTTTATGCATGTTTTGTTTGACGCGTAATCAGCAGCGAATTCCAGTGGGCGGGTATATCCATACTTTCTGCTTGCTACTTTATTGTCTTTCGTCCGTATATACCGCTACGACTTATATAATACAAAAAATTAGTCGAACAAGTACAGAAGCGCACAACAAGAGCTGTCTAAAATGCAAGATTGATTTGCTCTTTGGTATTGTTACACGATAAATTACGCCCTGAATGTGAAATGATGTGCTTTTTTTTTCATGTTGATACATATGGGGTAACATGTGAAAGCTTTTTATGCAGTCGCTTCTTTGCTAGGCCTCGACTGCGCCGTGACCTGTTGCATGATGTGTATGCGGGGCGCCATGCGCGGGCCGGCGTACCAGCCGCCGGTGAGGCTCCGCACGAAACGGCGCACATTGCGCACACAGAGGCCGCGTCCGAGAAGTGGAGGCTGTAGGCTGGCCACCTGCGGATTGGCCTCGACGTCCATGTCGTCGGCGTCGCCCGCGGCCGCGGCACCGGGACGCAGCAGCTCGATGCCGTCGTAGCCCTGCACGACGCCGACACTCCGCCACTGGCCGCTGGTGATTTTCCCGGGATCCTCGGTGAGAACGTAGTCAAAGCGCGTCCAAAAGTCGGGCCGTGCCATGGTGGCCTCGTCCTCGGTCTTGTCAAACAGCAGCAGCGGCGGCGCGGCGGCGACGACCAGCGACGGAGGCGGCGGGCCGTGGGCTAATGGTAGGCCGTGCGGGTTCTGGCCAAAAAGCGTCAGGCCCGTCATGCAAGTGAGGACGTCGGCGTGGATGGAGAGGGTGTCGTGCGGCGGTGTAGTAGCGAGGTGGTGGTGGTGGTGGTGGTGCTGCTGCTGCTGCTGCGTGAGCTGGAAGAGCTGCGCGACGGCGTCGCCGCCGGGGTAGTTGAGCGAGGAGACGAGCAGCATGGCGAGGCTGGCGGCCAGGGAGGCGAGGACGGAAAGCGGCAGCGCCGCGGCAACGAGTCTGTAGAAGAGGGACTTGGCGCGGCGCGTGTAGACGTAGTTGGCGCCGAGGGCAGCGGCCGCGGTGAGCGCGGGCACGGCGTAAAAGACGAAGCGCGCCTCCTTGTGCGGCTGCAGCGAGTAGACGGCGACGAAGAGCAGAGGCGGCGCGACCAGGTCCGCGGCCGGTCGCGACGTCGCAGGCCACCAGAGCGCGCAGGCGGCGAGCGGCAGCGCGAGCGGGTTCAGCAGCAGCCGCGGCAGCGCCGAGGAGAAGTAGTAGTGCCAGGGGGACGTGCCCCAGGCCGAGGCGGACCCGCGCACGACGTTGTAGTAGAAGCCGGCGAGCTCCGGCCAGAGCAGGCCGCCCCGTTGCCAAAAGTACGAGTCGACGGGCACAGAGAGGAGGAGCGCGCCGAGAGACAGGCCCGCGAGCAGCGGGACGAGCCGGGCGAGGGTGGCGCGGCGCCGGATGAGCAGCTGGAGGCAGGTGGCGCCGAGGAGGAGGGCTGTTTCGGCGCGGAACACGACGGCCGAGAAGACGAGCAGGAGGAGGGCCTGCTTCTGGCGCGCGAAAGCGAGCGCGGGCGTGGCTTGTGGGAGGAGAAATGCCGCAGCGAGTGTCGCTGTTTGCAGTCAGTCAGTCACTCAATCGGTGAAGAACAGACTGAAAGGGGGGGTCAACAAACTCAGGCCAAAGGAAAACATGTTGGGCAGCGTCCTGCTCAAATAAAACATGAGATGGAACTGGCTCACCACGAGCACCACCCACCAACGCCCCGTCGCTTTTCCAAACGCCGCATCAAGTCGGCGCCGAAACACGAGCAGGCTCAGCGCGTTGAGCGCGCCCAAGACGCCGCGTACCAGCATCTGCGCGCGGGCGAACCCGGCCACCGCGATGAGCGGCTGGCTGAGCGCGGCGAGGACGACGGCACCGACAAAGGTGCGGGGCACGGCGCCGGGAAAGACAAAGTGGTCGTAGGAGGCGGCGAGCGCGGCAGCGGCGCCGCCGGTGGGCGTGCCGTAGACGAGCACGTCGTGGGCGGCCTGCAGGGTGAAGGATTCCTCGACTTTGGAGAAAGGTGCGAGGAGTAGGTGCGCGAGGGGCACGGCAAAGAGCAGCACGTTGAGAGCGAGATCTATATCTCGAATTTCTTTTATTAGCTGGGGGGGGGGGGCGTGCCAAAGGGAGGATAGTGATGGATGGGTTGGGTGGGAGGGAGGAACGGAGGAAGAGGTAGGTTTCGCTTCATACCAAGAGAGTTGGGCGCCATGATGAGCCTGCAAGACGCAAGGATGGAGAGGAATGGGCTGAATGTGATGCAAGTTGATGCAAAAGACCATGGGATGAGGGTTGGGCGTGGGATCGTGTACGTGCCGTGATGGCTTAAAAGGGCAGCATGCTGGCGTTTGAGTGATGGAGTTGGCAGATGAAGGCGTCAAGGTCGCAGGGCAACATCAGTGGAGTCAGATAGCTCATTTTCCGCCCCGACACAACACGAATCATTCTGCAAAAACAAGGTAAAAGTTTTGATCTGCTTAACTACTAGAAATCAATTACATGCTAATATAATAAACTAAGAAATCAATCGTATCATGACTTGCTGGCTGTCAAAAATGTCCAATCTCAAAGTGGTTGCCCGTCTCGGAGATTGGGTGCAAGACGTCCAAGGCTGCCTAGGCCACACGATGAACAAGAGCGACGACATTGGCAACATTTAAGAATACCATCTTGCAGCAATGTAACAAAACCCAGCAGCTTCTTCGCGTACAGGTCTGTGAGGCCTAGGTCCCGGGGGCACAGCGGCCAACACAGGCACCACCCTGCATGAAGCCGCATCCACCTGTCCATTGTTAGCCAGCCTGTCCATGACTCTTTTCCTCTGCCATCTTTGCTTTTTTTTTTCTTGTTGTTGTAAATGCAAAAGGCAGAAAACAAGAACTTTCAAACAAGGGAAGAAACTCACCGACAGTAAACACGCAGTTCCTGCGACGATACATGCAAAAGCACTTCTCACTAACAATAATCTCTCTGAGCCCGGTGCATGTGCATATCGGGCGTTTCGCCATCTGGTCTCTGCTGTAAAGTCTCTGTTTCTGCAAAAGATTTTCCGTGCCGCCGTCGCACGATCCGTTCTCGACCCCGGCCAGCGCCGCGCAGCCGGCCATCCCAAAGGTGCTTATGCACAGGTCTTTGACGGCGGCAATCTCGCTGGAGTTGCCGGCGGCGACGGCCGACTCGGCGCGGGAAAGCAGCGCGTCTTGCTCTTCAGTCAGGGAATCGTTGCCGGCGCGGGATGCGCGAAAGGTGGCGAGGCGTGCCATCTGATACGGGGCGTAGTAGGTGAGGTAGTGAGATTTGAAGTCGTCAACGTCGCTGGAGGAGGAGGAGGAGAAGGAGGAGGTAGAAGCAGAAGAAAAACCAGAAGAAGTAGAAGAAGCAGAAGAAGAGGAAGAAGAAGAGGAGGAGGAAGAGGAAGAGGAAGAAGAGGAAGAAGAGGAAGAAGAACCAGAAGAAGAACCAGAAGAAGAACCAGAAGAAGAACCAGAAGAAGAACCAGAAGAAGAAGCGACAGAAGAAGAAGAAGAAGAAGAAGAAGAAGAAGAAGAAAAAGAAGAAGGCGGGTCAGAGAACGAGGACAAAGATTCCGCCGCCGCGAGGGCGACGAAAGTGGCTAGCAAGGTGAAATGCATGGTGATGACCACGAAGGAATGAGGTTGATGAGATGTGGTTTGCGTGAAAGCGTAGGTCAAAGAGATGACGTGTTTTATTTTGATCGACTGACCAAGGGCTCGCTCCTTTTAATAGTGGGAGCAACATATTTATTTGGCCATTATACTTTTCTCCAATTCCCTGGCCAAGTTGTCAAAAGCTTCCCCCCCCCCCAATTACCACCTTGTGGCTGCAAGTGGCTACAGAGGCCACCCAAACGCAAAGCGCAGCGAACCGCATTCAACAAGGATCGATCGTCTCAGGCCGGCTCTTTGCAGGCGACTGGGCGGCGTTGACCTCTTGGCCGATGACCATCATTCGTACATGCGTTCCGGAGCATCTGTTACGAGGAAAAATGGTCCAGGATCAGGGCGGTTAGAGACAAGGGCTATTTCACGGTTAGGGACCAGGGGCGGTAGTATGTTGGGTATTTTGGTGGTGACCAATAATTCCTGCAAAAGAGGCTGATGCTTTGCGCCTCAGCCATGAATTAATTAACAAACTTCCTGCGTTGTGGTTGATAAATAGAAAAAAAAAAAAAAAAACCCCGGCTGTTGGTCATCAGGCGTGTAAGCCATGGCCGTCGTGCCTGCCCTTTGATGGTGGGCTGCCACTTACTTTCCCACACACTTTTATCTCCTCTCAACTCTTTTCGCAACGCCACGTCTACGCCGACTTACGCCCCCAACACGTCATCACATTTTTATCCCAACTTTGTTTTATCCTTGGATTCTTCATCTCCGGCCCAAAGCTGACCTGACCACTTGACTCCATCTCTGAGCTCCGCAAAAAAAATGGACTGAATCTGTAATTATAATATGGAATAGTGGTTTTCATCATCAAGCTTGTGATGGGCTAATGGTCTAGTGGTATGATTTTCCGTTCGCATGTTTAACACGTTCATTCGGAAAGGTCCCGCGTTCAATCCGCGGTTAGTCCAAATCTCTCTTTTTTAAACCCCCGTGTGAAAGAAAATGTCTCTTCTTTTTTTGTCGTTGCAAAAAAGTCTGCTTTGCCATATGTTCGTATTTGAAAGCACAGTTCAAGCCGTGACCACAGTGTGCATGCACCATCAACACGCTCACCAGTATTTACGAGGTTAGCCTACTCAGGCAAAAGGGCACAGCAGAGGCATTTAGCATAGCATAGCCAATATGTCGAGATACGATAGGTGACATGACGCTCCTGCAAATGATAGTCCTGAAACGAGATAAAGCGCAAATTTCCACAATAAATCCAAAGGCTTGTTGGCTCCCAAGTGTACTCCTCTTCCTCAGTGCCTACCATTATTTACAGGACCAGGCAACAACACCGAGCTTCGCGACCAGGGTTAAAGCACAATGACAAGATTCCCACCATAAACTGATTGTACAGGTCCGTCATATCTGAATGATGAACGATTGCTCCAGATTGCAAGCTTGATACTCGGCGCTATGATAAGAGATTGGTGCTCTTCTTGCGGCCTAGGCCCATACTTAGACGGCTCCTTGTCTTTTCCTTTTCAGGCGAGTCGCCGTTGACCATCACTTCCACGGCAGCATCATCGCCGTTTCCGCCCTTGCCGAACAGACCAAAAGCCTTGCGTGAACCCGATTTGCTGCCGCGCTTCGAACGGTCGAGGAAGCCAAAGGCGCCGCCGTTGCCCTCTTTTTTTTCTCGCGCGTCCTCTTCCTTGGCGGCCGATTTTTTGCTCGCCTGTAGCACCTTTTCCAGCTCATCTTGCTCTTGACGTCTGGCCTGGATCATGGAAATGGCCTGATCGCGACGCTTTCGCTCATACTCTCGTAGTTCCTTTTCCTTGGCTTTCTGCCCTTCCTTTTCTTGTTGGCGGGCGGCCTTTTCGGCAGCTTCGCGCTCCTTCTTCTCGCGCTTCAACTCGTCTTTGGACTTGACTGACGTTGATGCTGATGGAATCACCGGTGTCGGAGGAACTGAGCCTTGGTTTGGGGTTGGCGACGGTGGTGTCAAGTCGGGGGCAGTTTGAGCGTGGGCTAAATTGGACAATTGGTCTTGCTCAGAAGATACAGGCGTGGGTTGTGTCTTTTGCCGAGATAGCGGCGTGTCCTCCGTCTTGTCGCTTTCCTCGTTTGCAATATTGGCTGCCTCTGTAGCCAGCCGAACCTCTTCTTTACCTTCAGCCTCTTGCTCGGCGCGGACCTCTTCAAAAGTCGTTTCCTGGTAGAACAAAAGGTAGGCCGTGGCCATTCCAGGCCTGTCGCCAAAAAAGTTGCGGACAAAGTGCTTGTCAACAGGCTCTACCATTTCATCATCAAACAGGAGCCAGCCGCGGTCTCTGGTCTTGATGATGGAGACATAGTGTCCGTGATAGCCGTTGCCACCAATGTGAACAATAACAGCGTAGAGTTCATAGAGGCGGTCTGGGTCTTCCGCCTCGTCTGCGGTATGAAACATGCGAAGGTGGTAAGGATATACAACTCTGTGAAACAACTTTTGTACCCGGCTGTAGTCTTCCGTATACTTGAATCGGTTGAGATGTAGGGTAAGGACCTTGGGTAGCTTTTTGACCTTCATGCGCTTTTCAGCCTCTTGCAAACCGCCGCAGTGGTCGCACTGAAACTTGTCTCTCTCGCACAGCATTTCCTCGGCAGAGAATTTGCGTAGACACGAGGTAACAGATGTGTGTTCGTCCAGGGCAATTGACAAATCCAAAAATGTCTGGTCGCGTTGCGATGCCGTCTCGCACGTCAAGCATTTTGTTTCCGAAGTCACAACACCTTCGAAAACATCGTGTACCCAGCCGGTACCCGGGGAGTTGTACGGTGAGCCAGTTGAAAGAGGTGCAGAGACGGCGTTGTGTAGAGAATCGGATAAGCCATTGGTGGCAGACTTTGTGTCAAGATGATCCTGATTGTGCTTGGCGTGATTGTCGACGCTGGCAATGACGTCGGTGAGGACAAGACGCAGAAATTCATGAGCATCTTGATGATTTGAGCTTTGAAACATTTCATTGTCGCGCTTGAAGATTTCCAGGAAACGTTGGGGGCTCAGGACTCCCGTTCTGGAATTGCTCTGTGTGAGAGCCAGGAAAATGTCCTTGAGCCCGGTAAATGTGCATTCGTTCATGTCAAAGGGGACGCGGCTTTCCTGAGCGAGCTCCAGAATTGGGCCTTTGAGCATGGCCTGCTTCTTCTTGTATTCCGGAGTGTCAGGCTTATCCTCTGGCTTGACGGGCTGCTGGCCAGGAATGGGCTGGCCCGAGTTGATGGCCTGGCGTTGCCTGAGGGCCTGAGCCGTCGACAGCTTGGGCTGCTTTTGCGGCGTAGCAGGTGTAGCAGGTATGACAGGCGGTCGTATGGTGACATTTGGCTTGTATGGAAGAGAATTGGGTGTACCGGTCGGGGAGAGGGAGGGGTAGTTTAAGACGCCTTCGCGAAACTGGTCGGAGTGGAAGAGGGCCTGGACGATAGAGTTGCAGTAGCTGAGCGTCATTAGCGTTAGATAAATTGAGGTGTAGCGATCCGGTTACCAAGTGTTTCCAAACTATCATGGCAGAGATTAGCGAGAGTTTGAGGTGATGTCTCAGATCCAATCTACTCACATTCTCGAAGCCCAGAAATCTGTCGCGGCCATCTTGGGTGAGGGGGCCAGCGTTCTGCAGCATCTTCGCCAAAGGAGTGACTTCTGTGGTAACATGGTCCTTTTTCTTGAGGGGGAGGTCCTTGGTAGAGGGCGTGGTAGAGGGCTAGGAGTTTATCTCGATCAGCGGTTGGCGACTTGGTGATGGCAACGGTTCGACCCGCAGGAGCGCATGCGGCAATAGGGCAGTTGGGGCGCAGGCGCGGGCGCGGATGGAAAAGAGTAGGCATACCGTATTGGAGCCCTTTATTTTGTTGAAGAGGCTAGGCATGACGTTGTGGGAGCGCGGGGGGCGCACAGGATGGGCGAGAAGCGTGGAAGTCGAGGGCGAGTTGTGCGGGGAGAGTTGGACGACCACGCCTCAGCTGGGGCGAGGCTAGGCGAAGCGAGGCTGACAGGGAGCAGCTGCAGAGAGCAGCTGCAGAGAGAAAGGTGAAGGCTATCGTGGGAGGGGATTCATTCGCAGGATGGTCGATAAAAGGGGCGAGAGCGAGAGGGCAAGAAAGAAACAGGAGAGAGAGGAAAGTGACGAATTTGACTCTAAATTTAGTGTGGTTGGTCGTGTGGTGGTGGTCAGCAGTGCGTTAGGTAGGCTGAGTTGGAAATGCGGAGGCGGCTGGAGGCTGGAGGCTGGGCCAGGCTGCCAGACTAGGGTGCGCCGTCGAGTTGGATGGGCAGAAACAAAAACAATTCGCGCGCTGCAGAAATGAATTGACCAAGTAAACGGAGCGTCTTTACAGAAGCGAATGTATCCGATGAATATGGAGAGAGAGGCAGCTGAGAACCTGAGGATGACGAGGCAGCAGACGAACCAAACGGGCTGCGGGCGCTCAAACCGCGTAAAAAGCAGGCTGCCGTTTATTGGACAGCGGACTTTGTTGAGTGGGCCAGGGACTTTTGTTTCTACAAGTATCCGCACTGGTAACTAAATAGATTGATTTCTTTAATCTATGAAGCCACCAGTGACGCGGACGCCTATGGTGGAACAAATCAGAATATAGACGGCCGGCGCTTCATTCTTGGTCGGCTCCATATGCGCCTTTTCATGGGTTTCTTTTATCATGTAGCTACCATCAAGTATGACTTGCGTGACGCGGGTGGGCGCAGACGAACATGGTACCGCCAGCGGAATCTGAACAAACAAATATCATTTTATCCGTAACCAGGTACAATACCCCACAATCTCACCATAGGCTGTCCACCAAAAGGTAACCATGCCATGCTTTTGGTCCCCGCTTGCCGTTTTGCAGGCAGTGCGGGGCCCCTCCTCTCAGTAATTACTCGCAGGTAGTTAGCGGACGTGGCGGGGTACCTGTTTACTTACTATCCATCCTTCATCGTTTGCTACTCCTATTTGCAGTTTCTTTCTCCTTTTAAGCTCTTGTCATTATTATTCAATGCTCTACTCTTCCTCACATCACCATCTTTATCCTCCAATCTGAAATTCTACATTGTCATTCTTTGGCAAGGAACGAGTAACTAGCGCTCCACCTTGCAAGAGCATTCTCAATGGCTTCCAACGTAACAGAGATGCAAGCCAGTCCCCGTCGATAACCTTAGTGTATATCAAACCCAAAAGAGCAACCGGCCATTTCATCTACTTCTTCTCTTGGCCTGGAATCGCAGTACCTCCCGTGGTCGGGAAGCCCATGAAAATCTTGAAATAATCCTAAACCGCCCAGTTAGCTGACCGACCGCATACCATCACGCTACGTCATCACATCCACAAAGCAAGACCACTTACATAAATCATCCACTGCATGCCCGTCAAGGTGCCAATCATGACGATACGAACCGGGAGCCCGTTCCAGAGCCCGCCAAAGCCAATGTCCTTGTAGATGCGCCGCATCGCGGCGCCAAACGCCTCGCCCGGCGCGCGGTTCGAGTTGAGCTTGCTGACCATGACATCGGCCGGGTGCGAGACAATGGCGCAGAGTATGCCCGCGAGGTAGCCCGCCGAAAAGGAGACGCCCGTCTGCGCCGCCTTGGAGTAGTCGGCCTTGGAGCCCGGCAGGCGCGAGTAGATGATTTCCACAATCGTCTCAAACGACGCAAACTTCATCATCGTGTACGGGATCTGGCGGCCCCAGAGCGGGTAGATGCCCTTGTACAGGCCCGCCGCGCCCTCTTTCGCTACGATCCGGCTGATGCCGTCAAAGGTGCCCTTGTACGGGTTCGGGATCGTGCCCTGCGAGCGGACCTTGACGGCCTCAAACGGGCACAGCGCAATGTCGGCGAGAAACTCGGCCGACGCCGAAGCGGCGAGGTACAGCTCCGTCTTGTGCTTGGCGGTCGCGTCAGGGCCCGCCATATCGGCGTACGTCTTTTTAAAGTACTCGTACC